CAATCAAGAGTGTGATGTAACTGTTGTTTTATGTTGTAGAATAAAATGTAAAAGTATTTTGAGTTTGTGTTAGCCATGAACTTTATTTTAGCAATTTAACTGAAATCCCTTTTAAAACTCCTACTGACTTTGGGACAAGGAAACCAGAACTGCTAAAACGCTAACTTGCTTCCGGGTTTTGCATACAATTTAACGTCATAGTTCCTCAACTCTATAGGGGCTTTAATTCTGTCCACAGAGGCTGAATTGAGCTAAACTCTAATGTTAGGACTAACATTCTCTTGAACTACCTTTAAAATTACATATCTAAAATTATAATTTTAAAATGATTATATTTTTAATTCATAAAACTATAAAATTATTAGCGGTTTGCAATAGTTGAAGGAAGTTATTGATCTCAAGTTTGCAATGATGTACCACAAGGTTAGGTAGTAGGACCATTGCCTTTTACCCTGTATATTACCTTTGGAAGACGCTTAACATACTTTGGAAGTAGTGCTTTTTTGTGATTGAATGTTGTGGCTTGATTTTCTTTTTTGTTTTAGAGCAGTGTTTCCCAACCCTGTTCCTAAAGGCACACCAACAGTACACATTTTCAACCTCTCCCTAATCATACACACCTGAATCAACTCATCAGAACATTAGAAGAGAAGCCAAATCCTAAAATGAATGGGTCAGATAAGGGAGACATCCAACATATGTACTGTTGGTGTGCCTCCAGGAATAGGGTTGGGAAACACTGATCTGCTGTAGTAGCATATCCTATTTGCAGTGAAGATGATTTCAGATTAGTGAACTCATGTTGAGACCAGATTGAAACTTTGTTTTTAATTTCATCCACAGAGACTGTCCTCTCTTTTGATCGTGACCCAAGTAGTCGGTCAGTTCACTGAGGTAGTGGTTCCTTTCTTGGTGGACCGTTTCCTCACATCTGCAAACAGAAACTTGAAGGAAGATGACCCAGAAGTGGACCATCTCCAGGCTCAAGGAAGTCTGCCAGCTTTCCCAGTGAGTTTTTATGCTTAATACACTCAAATGGTTTGATTTCAAGTGTATAAATTTCTTAATTTTGTTAAATTTTGCAGGGGCTGTTTGCGGAGTACATCGAGCTGCTGGTTCAGTTTGGCTACTTGAGTCTCTTCTCTTGTGTCTATCCTCTCACTGCCCCTTTGTTACTTCTTAACAACCTCACAGAGATCCGAACTGATGCCTACAAGCTATGCAAGCTCTTCAACAAGCCCTTTTCTGCCCCTGTGGCCAACCTGGGTGTATGGCAGGTCAGAATTATGTCTTCTTACGAAAAATGTTTTAAACGCTTTCATGATACTCCGAGTCCTAACGTGTGTCTGTCTGTTTTTAGCTTGCATTTGAGGTGCTGAGCTTCATCTCGGTCATTTCTAACTGCTGGCTGTTGCTGCTGTCACCACGTGTAAAGGAGTGGACACAGGAAGCTGGTCTCAGCAGCAGCCAAGTTATTGTCATTGCCGTCATTGTGGAGGTTAGAGTCAGTTTAGTTACATTTTGGCCTTTTAAAATGCTGAAGGAAAAACTCATCCAAAAATTTAAAAAATGAGCAATTGAAAGCCCGGCAGAGGAACATAATAAATGTTTACTTTTTATGCGTTGTGTGTTCAACAAAATAGTAATTATACACTTACTGGCCACTTTATAAGGTACACCTTTCCAACTGCTCGTTAACGCAAATTTCTAGTCAGACAAACACATGGAAGCAACTCAATGCATCTAGGCATGTAGACATGGTCAAGACGATCTGCTGCAGTTCAAACCAAGCATCAGAATGGGGAAGAAAGGTGATTTAAGTGAATTTGAACATGGCATGGTTGTTGGTGCCAGATGAGCTGTTCTGAGTATTTCAGAAACTGCTGATCTGCTGGGATTCTCACACACAACCATTTCTAGGGTTCACAGACAATGGTCCGAAAAAGAGAAAATACCAAGTGAGTTGCAGTTCTGTGGGCGCAAATGGCTTGAGGAGAAATATCCAGACTAGTTCAAGCTGATGGAAAGGCAACAGTACCTCAAATAACCACTTGTTACAACCGAGGTTTGCAGAAGAGCATCTCTGAACACACAACTCATCCAACCTTGAGGCAGATGTGCTACAGCAGCAGAAGACCACACCGAGTGCCACTCCTTTCAGCTAAGAACAGGAAACTGAGGGTACAATTCGCAAAGGCTCAACCAAATTGGACAATAGAATATTAGAAAAACATTGCCTGATCTGATGAGTGTTGATTTCTGCTGTGACCTTCAAATGGTAGGGTCAGAATTTGACATCAACAACATGAAAACATGGATCCATCCTGCCTTGTATCAACAGTTCAGACTGGTGGTGTTTTAATGGTGTGGGGGATATTTACTTGGCACACTGTGGGCCCATCGGTAGTATTAAGCATCGTGTCAACGTCACAGCCTATATGAGTATTGTTGCTGACCATGTTCATGCTTTTCTGACCACAGTGTACCCATCTTCTGATAGCTACTTCCAGCAGGTCAACGCGCCATGTCATAAATCATCTCATTCTTGAACATGACAATGTGCTCACTGAACTCAAATGGCCTGCACAGTCACCAGAACTCAATCCAATAGAGCACCCTAGGATGTGGTGGAATGGGAGATTCGCATCATGGATGTGCAGCCGACAAATCTGCAGCAACTGCGTGATGCTATCATGTCAATATGGACCAAAATCTTTGAGGAATATTTACAGTATTTTGTTGAATCTATGCCATGAAGGATTAAGGCAGTTCTGAGGGCAAAAAGGGGACCAACTCAGTACTAGGAAGGTGTACCTAATAAATTGGCCAGAGAGCGTATAAGGCAGTGCTCACCAAACTTAATCCTGGAGGGCCGGTGTCCTGCAGGTTTTAGCTCCAACCCTAATCAAACACACCTGAACAAGCTAATCAAGGTCTTACTAGGTATACTTGAATCATCCAGGCAGGTGTGTTGAGGCAAGTTGGAGCTAAACCTTGCAAGGACACCGGCCCTCCAGGACTGAGATTTGTAACCCCTGGTATAAGGGTTAACGCAATTACAAAATGTTATTATTTTAGGGTGGAAGCACCCTTTAATTCAGCATCATTACCAGTGTTCGTGTGATGTTGGAACTGTGTAATGTACAAATTAAATGCACTTGAATCCAAACATAGTTTTTTCACAATTAAGAATATAATTACGTACTGCTTGAATTTGCTGTTTAAATTCTACTTGACTGCTCTTTATCAGTTTGTAGCTATATATTAAGTGGTTACAAATCACCAGTTTGGTATGGTGTACCACAGTTTAGTACTAGGACCCCAGCTTTTTAAAAAATCTAGCTTTATTGATGATTGATTTTTTTTGTTGTTGTGGCAAAGGTACATCACAAACTCATAAATGCTAGTTATGTCATGGACAGGATTAATTTTTATGTTAGAATTAGTGGAATTGCCCTGGCATGGTTCAAATTTGATCTTTCTGTCTGTTTTTAGTTTGTAGCTGGGAATTAAAAGGTTCTTGATCACATTTTTGGTATGGTACTAGGTTCGGTACTAGGGCTGTACTCATCACCTTAACCACCATATTACTTTTGGGAGACATTAGGAGTTCTTTGGAAGTAGAGTATAATAATGCATGAAAGTTTTTTATTTATTTATTTGTTTGTTTCTTTCTTTGTAGAAAAGAACATCATAAATCTTGCTTCCCACAAACTGAATTGAACTGAACTGATAAATACAAATTTCCATATCAGACTTAAATGAAGCATAAGCATGTTCATGAATTAGCAGGTTACTGTTTTCCCCCAAGCTCTGACTGAATGTTTGTTTTGTTTTCTAGCATGTCCTCCTCATAGTGAAGATGATTTTGGCCTTTATTATCCCTGATGAACCAGATTGGCTCCAAGTCAAGAGAGAACAAATTGAGTATAACTCCATGCAAGCGCTTAAAAAACAGGTACCAGTTTGTTTTAGCTAAATGCTAACTGTATTTCAACATTCTAGTATTTAGTTTAACAGCTTATATTACAGCCTATATATACATATAGGTGTTGAAAAGTGTAGTAGCAAGTTATCAACGAGTGTATTAGCTCATTTTAGCGATTAGCACATAGCTAGCAAGGATAGGCATAAGGAAATTGTCAATTTTAGTGAACTGTTTCCCCAATTGAATTCAGAATACTAACGTTAACTTAGTCTTTTATTAGTTTATATTGCAATATCATTTTGTTTACCATAAGGATTAAAAGATGTGATTTACCAAGAAAAGTATTTAAATCTAATGTACATCGTGGATCTCTTTTTCTCCCCCGCAGAGGATCAAGAGTACTCGTGTGGATGGCAAACTCCAGAAGGCCAAAATGGGAGAGTGACCAAAGACTTATTTCACAAGAAGGCAATCACCAGAAGGGAGGTGCTTGGCTATAAAGTTATATCACTTAGCCACTGTATACTTAACCTGCTAATGTACCTTATGGCACAGTTTACCAAAGACAGTTTCTACAGTTTACATGGTATTAAGGCCCAATGCACTTATTGTTTGAGGCACTTTTTTTAAACTGCTGGGGGAAAATATTATTGAGTTCAGGAATGATACTGTACATATAAGGAGAATTGAGAAACAAGCAGCTCTTTAGGCTATATGAAGCATTTTAAAAGAATAGCTCACAATCAGTATTGTATATAGTTTAAATTTGTTTAGTTCTGTTTGTATATTTGTTCTTACATTGTGACATTTTTACCTGATGGGTTTTATCCTTGGTTGTGTTGTACATTTCAAAAGATTTTATCATATTCTTACAACGCATTTTACTGGCATAATTAATCATGCAATGCTTGCCTTCCTGAAAACATTAGTGGCCTTGAAGATAGATATACACACATACACACACACACACACGCATACATGTCATAAAATAAATAGCTTAAACGTTACACAGTGGTCACTTGGTTTCTTGCAGTAATTCTTCCAGGGGAAAAAAAATACAACAGACACATAATGCAGTTTAATCAGTTTTAATAAATAAATATAAAAATAAATTAATCTCATTGAGACACAGTCGTAATTTTAGTAAGGGTCAATGGGACTATAGATAAACCCAAATCCAACTGTTGCTGAGTAATGGAGACCCATGTCAAATGAGAACCATCAAATCGAGTAGGGAAAATGCTAATTATGAAAACATAATGGATGTCTGTCTTTATATCGCTCTGCCCTTTGATTAGTTCAGAAAGATATACGTACTTAGTATGGGATTTAAATAAATTTTCATCTGTTATAGAGATGTAATGTGTCTATATAGGACTTCTTGAAATCTCTCCCCAAAGCACATGTCACATTTACAGCTGTTCTTATGCATTTGGTCAAGCTTATCTGTGGTCCGAAATACTGAAGAAAAAGTGTACACTTGCGTTGACTACAGTATGAGACGAAAAAAAGTATAAAATATTAATAAATGACTGGTGAGAAGTGCACTATGTATTGTGCAGCAACTTAGGAATGTGAAGTGACTGAAAATATTTGATGTCTTTAGAGTACCAAAGTAACAGTAACCACAGTCACACCGGCTGCTTAAATGTTTGTGATTGTGTTTAGGTTGTTCAGGAGGTAAAAACAACAGCAACCTCTTGCTTCTCTCATGCCATTGCAAGATACGAAGGCTGGATTCTCTTAATGTACAGTTTACGCTAGGCTCAGCTACGCTATTAGGCGTTACGTTAACATACAGCTCTTCAAATGTATTTACAACTATGACACAAGATACTATACGATCTGTCGATCATCAAGCTAGTGTCAAGAAGTCGCTACGTTTGTTGAATATGATGTGAAACAGAAGGGTTGAAATGTTTCGTTTGTATGCGCATGGTGCAAGGGTCAAAATACGACATCATACCAACAGCATAACATGTTGAAAGGAATATATATACACTGTACATGACTGAATATTTCAGAGCTTATCCCCTTACAACACATGTTAAAGATGCACCCAGAGACTAGATGATTAAACAAAAATAGATGTTCAATGTTATGTAATATAATTAATCTCCCTTCAATATCTTCTTACGTAAACAAAAAAACAAAACAAAAAAAAAACGGATATGTCTGTCACCATCTTTCCAAAAACCCTTGATAATTCTCTAATGCTCGATAAAGGCTTGAAAATATTTCCAAGAAATAGCAGTTTTAAAACAAACTCCCAAGTATAGCTCCAGGAAGACCAGTCTTCTGTGTAATATTACGTCCATTTCACACACAAACACCCCCAGCTATAACCTCTTTGTTCAAGCCCTCTTCTTGTTGTTTTAAAATATATATCACAGAAATACTTAGCATCTTTCCCTGGTCAGTCCCCGGCTCACAAAATGCTAATGCTATGCTAAGCTGTTCTGATTTAGCATGCTCTTATAACCATGCTCCCAAACTGTCACTGTTCACTGTATCAATGTGGCAAACTGTTCTGCTTTCTCCCCACTGCCTGAGGGTAAAGATGCTAGCTAACATGCTAGCATGAGGCAGTGGTGCTCGAAAAGCAACAACAGTGCCACAGCATGCAACTTCTTAAAGACTGAGTGAAGACTGTTGCCTCACAGGCGCCTGCAAAACCAAACCAAATGAACATCCACAACTTCTTGAATCAAGACATCCTCTGTTGTCACCATATGTTCTTGTGTTGGCTTATTCATTGTCACTCATAAAGCATGGTCTTCACCCACTTATTTAGTGATATGACTAAACTCTGTGATGCTTTTAAGGTGGTAAAGATATTACAGTGCAAGATGACGTTATTGAATTAAAGCTTCTACTCTAGCAAGACATATGCTACTTCTAATAAAAGTCTCTGAGATAGCACAGAATAGAGTGAGCAGTGTCAGTAGTGTTCATATACACAGCATTGTTTAACGGTCTTACAGGAAAGCAGCAAGGAATGCTGGGCAGGGAAAGAAAATAATGATATACATTACGCAGATTGTGTGGGAAAGCACCTCTGAGGTTACAGTTTGAGGTGAGAACGTGTTTTTTTGTGTGTGTTTGAACAACTTCAAATATTTGTTGGTTTTGCAGGGCTTCTGTTGATGCCAGTTTGTTTTTTGATCTCGGGATCCAGTCTCTACAACACATGGCAGCAGTTATACTGTGCAAATGGTAGAAGTTTCTCTTTAGAGGTGGGCTGGATGTTGAAGGATAAAGCTTTCTCACAGAGCGGGAACTGCATCAGACGTTCTCGCAAGTTCACATTTTTGACCTTGCTGGGATCAGCTCGGATAGTAGGGTCGGTAATTGTGCCTCTGGTTCCCTGGAGTACTTTTTGAGATTTAGGTTGTACCTCCTCAGGTTTCTCCAGTTCACCCACAGTCTTGCGCATCTCTACTCCATCAGGACCCAGGTCCACACAGTGGTTCCTTGGCAGGGATCTTGGGGAACCACAAGGGGTTGAGATCACTCCAGCCTCGAGCAGCCGAGATTTGGCTAAGGTGTTATTGTTGTTTTCTAGGATGTCCTTTGAAGGTTCACGTTGTCCCCAGCAGCACTGTACAACATCCAGTCTGGGAGCTGGTATAGGTCCGTCTACATTTGGACCTTGGATCTCTTCTCCTTCCTGCTCCTCTAAAGACAAGCTAACATGGGTGAACACACTCTTATCGTTTCCTTTACCCGGCTGCTTTGTATGTTTGAACTCTTCCACCTGTGGTTCAGTCTTTGGGGGCATCTCTACTTGATGTTCCACAGTGCCAGAAGGTATGCTTGACACTAAATCCAAAGGCTTCTTATGCTCTTCTATGCTCTCCGAGCCTTCCTCAAGTTCCTCCTCCTCCTCAGCTAGAGTTTCACAGTTTCCCATCCCCTTACTTGAATGCCTTCCAGTTCTCATCTGAGGCTCTGATTGCAAAGATGTTGTAGAGGGTTTCAATGACAGGTCTGTTGAAGGAAGTGGACCCAGTTTACCAGGTGCCATCTTAACCTTCACCTCATCTTCCTCCTCTTCCTCCTCACAGATCTGCTGTAAGGCTCCAAGGCTCTTGACAGTTGGTTGGTCCGGAGGTAGAGGGCGCATATTGAGGCTTAAGCATGGAGCCGTGCTGCAAAAGTCACTAAAGGAGTTATCATGACGGTTGGCTTTGGGAGCCAGCAGGTCCCCTGATTCACTCACACCACGCCGGACATAGCCAGTAGATAGAGAGCCAAGAGGTGCTAAGGCACTAAGGGGTGTACCCCTCAGTGTATCAGTCCGGGGCACTTGGCTCACCAAGTCCAGTGGTTCTGATATGGGTCTCCTGTAATGGTAACCAATAACAGTACTTAGCACAACATATTAGGAATCTTCAAGTACAAAGTGTGATGTAGTAAGATTTTACCATGTAAGAATCTTTATATTGAAGAATACTTGAACTTACTGTGTATTCCTCTGCTCAGGAGTGAGACTTGACTGCTCTTGCTTGTCTCGAAGAAGTCGCTCTCCCAGCAAGTAGTATGTGGCTGTTATGTGGTTATATCGGTCAGCCTCTAAAGCTCTGTCACACAACAATGTATTTGTATTATAAACTTGCATAATGTAACTTAGAAGAGGTCAAAGTGTTCTGTGACCAAAAGAAGAGATACCCACTCTTGGATGGCATCTCGGCCAGCGATGCTGCCACTAGTCATGGCTTGAAGTATGAACTCATGCTCCTCTGGTAACAAACTGCGGTGAGAGGTGAGTGGGGCAGCTGTAAATCCAGCAGGCGAAGGGTCAACACCCTGCAACCAAGGGTGGCTCTCTATCTCTGCAAGAGACGCCCGCTTAGCTGGATCCCTCTGCAGCATACGTGAAATCAAACTGAGAGATGGAAAAGAGAGAGGGAGGGAGTGATGAGAAATTATTCCATTTTAAACAGAGCAGAACGAGAACATCAGACATGACCTTCTGTGAGGGGGGGAAAAAGTAATAAGAAAAATCCCATCTTTTTAAATAGGCTTGATTTTGCCACCCTTCATCACTTCTGCCTCCATCTCACTTCATTTCGGTCTCACTCTACTTGCAATTTTTATACTTTCCTTTTCTAGCAATCTTAATAAATATTCTCTGCCTGGCTGACAGCCGATGATTGCACAGGCGCATCTTGCCGTCAGAGGAGACGGAATGAAAAGGAAGTGCTTATCTTTCTGTTGATTAATATTCATGAGCACCTGCAGAGAATTGGTGCTTCAGTGAGGCGAATGGAAAGAATATGGAATTGCTTGGAACTCCAAGCATTGAATGCACTGCACCCCAGCTTGTTTATTCAGGGCATTTGACTGTTTTATTTCACTGCAGCACTGGCACGCGCTCTGGAAACATGCATCTCCCTGAGCTGGCCAACAGGGGGAGATGTTTTCCCGTTCTCTGAGCATTTTGTGTGCGTGTTTATAATCCAACATGCTCCTTTGCCCTTGAACATCAGCAGAGGTGTGTTTAACCTCAACACCTTAAATAGCCACAAGGATGAAGGGTGTAAAAAAAGCAGATGAGATGAACACTGAGATGAAAGTCTGCCTCAAGACACAAGTGTTCTCTTCAAAGAAAACTCTTCCCATTAAAGGAGGCTTTTGATTGCGGTAGAGATCATGTGACTCAGTCACTATGTTTGGCTGTACAGCCAAGCCCAGATGTCTAACACACACTAGTACACACACACACTCCCTTGCACAATTGACTGATTCAGACCTAAACTCGAGCCTTGAGAGCTGTTGCTTTGGGGATGTTCTGACTACAAATAGCCCGGAATAAACCCACTTAAAAATAACTTTGCTCTGACAAAAGGCAGCCTTGTGTAAAAATCTGCTCACTACAGATCTGCCGTGAACCCACTTCAAAGCAAGCTTTCACGCCATTCAGCAGTGAATTGATCAATCTGTTGTACAAAGCAATCTGTACAAGGGACTAAACAGTTGTTGCATAGCATTTCTGTGGTTTGATTTCACATTCCAAACCCTTCTTAAGAGCAGTGCGGTGTTGTTATGATTCAAAAAGTGTACTTAAGTACTCAAGTACGTCTAATCCATCCGGAAAGTCTAGTTGGAAAGAAAATGAGGGAGTTGCCTTGAACTGTTACTTCCAATATTCATCACCTTGCCCAAAGTTGTAAATTTGGTATGTCTGCCGTAACTTGCTCATGAATCAAACCTCTGCACATCCAAACCAATTCTGATTGGCTTGTTGAATGTCATTTTGAGCGCCTCAGCCTGGGATTGGCTGGTCCAAGTGGGTGTTAACAGATAAAAGTACAGTACTGTATGTTCAGATGGGCTTCGTCTACACGTAGGTATGAAGTTTGGCATGAAAGTGGTACAAATTGGAGTGCGAGGGAGTGGTGTTTGAGAGGCGAAACACTGTGTTCCGATGGCACAAAGCTGTCAAGGACATCTTAAATGTAGTCTATTTACTCAGGCTTGTTTTGAGGGCATGCTTCAGATCAGCTGGAAGATCTTTGCCATGTGGGTTTTATAAGGGTTTTGTTCTTGCTAATATTGGTTTCTAGACATGCTGAACTCTCCTGCACCGGCTTGGAAAGAAAAGGCCATTGATGTAGGATACCGCCTAACCCCAAAATAAACACTCAGTCAAATTTAATAAGCCTCGTTACATAACGGCCAACCACTATCTTGCTGAAGAGATCTAGATTTTAAGTACAACGCATAAATCCTCAGAGAAAATGCCAATGGGGTAGATAAACAAGATACTGTAAGCTGCTAGTTTCCATTTTGGGTGAACTTTTCCTATAATATTCTCACCCTCAAGCCTTGTTCTGTGTATATAATTGTTTTTTTTCTGTCAGATGAACACTAGTATTTACAATTTTATCCTGGTTCTTTAATGCTGTATGATGGTGGATTTATTTTGAAGCTTCCAAACTACTTGTAAAACTGCTCCAATTGTGTTTGTCTGACAGAAAAGGGTTTTATACAACAAGGGTGGTTTGAGGGTGAGTAAATTAATTGGAGATTTTCATTCAATGTTTCTTTATTGTACAAGTATGCAGTGATCTGCAGGCTTCAGTATATCAGTTGATGAGGTGTTCAGATGGTATACATACTCTTTGCACTGGGCAGAGATGTGGTTGGGCACAGTGTATCGACAGTCCATGATCATGATGAGCGTCTCGCTGTCATTGGTCTCTTGAAAGGGCGGGTGTCCACAAACCAACATATAGAGGATCACACCCAGTGACCAGATATCTGAAACACACAAAAACCACGAGTTACAGTGAGAACTTAATCTTACTGATTTTTAACATTTATTTGGTTTAATTATTGGACAGGATTTAAAATAGATTTATAGTTTTACAGATTATGTATTGTAAATAATACATTTATGGTGTGAAATGGCATTTATAAATGTGAAATTAAACATGCTTTTAAAATGTATAATTACATAATGTAATGCACACAATTACATATATGACAAAAAATTATTAAATTTATATAGTAAATCATATATATCACATATATATGTTGGACCATTTTCCAGATCATTTTTCAATGTCATTTGCCTTCCATTTATTACAAAAACAATACACTTTTGGTTTTAACAAACATAACTTAGAACCTGTAATTTTATTAAAAAAATGAAGAAATAATCAGCTGAATAAAAATAAATTGTAAATAAAATATTCAGTACTGTGGAAAATTCACTGTTACTACTGTTGCTGATAACACTACATGTAGAAATCTAACATTATAATTTGTACAACCCATAATTATTTATTATTTATTATATTATTTCTCATTTTCAATAAATGATTCAGTCATTCACTCATCAAACTTAAAATTTCATTGCTAGATGGATCATTTTTGAAGAATTATTTAGTGGCTATTGATTAAATAATGTCATTTCTGCCTACAACTTTCATTTTTGAGCGTCAAGTTAAGTGCATATAATGGTGATTTTAATCTTTATGATTAACACATCAGTGGTTTTATCTAAACTATAAACTGTTTTCCCAGTTCTTCTGTGTTATTTGACTGTTTGTAACTTCATATCTAACTGAAAAAAACTAAAGACTGAATCTGTTTCTTGATTTTTGTGTTTTTCAAACACCGATATAACTGCAGCGATTGGAAGGATTAATAAACATAAGCAAATCACCATCATTTATAATTTGTTGCGTGGGTGTTGAGATCCTGATCTTTTATTGAATAATTGTGCAGCTAACACTGAATGCATTAATGCAGCCTAAACAAGTAGTAACAGAAAACACCTTTATTAACCTAAGAAACCCACCACATCCTTAATAGCCAAACACATTTTCCTACATTTCTTTTTTTTTATTTACTAAATGATGTGTAACAGAGCAAGGAAATTTTCAATGTATGTCTGAAAATATTTTTTCTTCTAGAAAAAATCTTTTTTGTTTTATTTTGACTAGAATAAAAGCAGTTTTAAATTTTTTAAACATCATTTTACGGTCAAAACGATTTGCCCCTATAAGCTACATATTTTTTTCGAGTCTACAGAACAAACCATCTTTATACAATAACTTGCCTAATTACCCTAACCTGCCTAGTTAACCTAATTAACGTAAAAGATAATAATTAAATTTAAAAATTAAATTAAAGTTGATTCCTTAAACATTCATCAACATAATGATTCATCACCAAAAAAAATATTCCATAATTATTGCTTAAAACCTGAAATCTTGAATGCCATCAAAATCCTTATTTAACTTAAGAACAAACTGTAATAGCATTTGTGCAGAAAAGAGGAAGAAACTGGAGGGTTTTTAAGCCCACAGAAGTTCCCTCATGCGACACACATGATCACACTGTCAAAGCCAACAAGTACAAAAAGAACAAAAATGAAACGCAAACAAAACCAGTCCGGCAGCGCCACTGTACTCTACGTCCTCTGACAATAATTAACCAGAGCTGAAGAATTTAACCGTAGTGAACCGATTGCTCAGACATGCTTTTCTGTCTGAAAGTGTTTCCCCATCCATCATGACTCAATCTGAGGATCCCAGGAAGAGAAAAAAAAATGCTGAACATCCTGAACCAGAACACAGTGAACGGGACACAAGGCCAAAATTAGAGAGTCCCACAAGAGGCCTGTTTGTTTTGGTAGCGCACTTTTCCACTTTTCGTGGCCTTCCAAGAAAACTTTCTTTTATACATAAAAAACCCCAAACAAAAACAAAACTATATAGGTTAGAGGTCAAGGTCTGTTTAAAATGATTGTGTCTGTTTTGATTTCCCTCCATTCATAGTCATAACATTTCATTTAACCTTTGATTTCGGAAGGAGCGAGTACCGGGAACGTGCTCATTCATAGTTTTTGGTCGCTGCGTTTTCTTGGAGCTCTGCTTTGGCATACATGGAAATTCAGCAATGGCTAAATATATACGCGAGATCTGTTTGATATTAATATTGCTCTGTCATAAGATGACTCACCTTTTCATTTGAGATTAAGATATTCATTGATGAAGAGCTTTACTTTTGGACATTTAACACTTGAAAATGAGGTTTCATTAGATAATGTAGGTATTTATTTAGGATAATTCAATACTTGTAGAGCATTTTTTAATCATAGCTTAACCCATTTATCATATTTAAATTGTGTATATATTTAATAATAACACATTAATAATGAAAATAATACACTAACAATAAACAGAATATGTATTATTATAACATCTACTGTGTGTGAAGCAGAGCAAAGGTTAAGAATCAACGACAGTCC